GTAAAAGTCCTGTTCAGTTTGAGAATCTTGAAGAAATTTTTGACACATCAGTTTCCAAAGAGATGAGTGATGACATCACTTCAGACATTACATCATGGGAAGGGAATACACATTTTGAGGAGTCATTCACTGATGGACCTGAGAAAGAGCTTGATCTGTTTACTTATTTAAAACATTGTGCTAAAAATATAAAAGCAAAAGATGTAGCCAAACCAAATGAAGATGTCCCAAGCCATGTTTTAATAACTGCCCCTCCCATGAAAGAACATTTACAATTAGGAGTTAATAATACAAAAGAGAAGTCCACTAGTACCCAGAAAGACTCACCTGTTAATGAGATGATCCAAAGTAATGATCTTTATAGTAAAGAAAGCATCTCAGGAGGAGGAACAGAAATTTCTCAGTTCACACCAGAAAGTATTGAAGCCACTCTTTCAATATTATCTCTTAAACATGTAGAAGATGTTGGGAAAAATGATTTTCTGCAGTCAGACCAGTGTGCAAATGGATTAGGAAATGATAACTCCAGTAACACTTTAAATACTGACTATTCATTCTTAGAAATTAGTAATAAGAAAGAAAGAATCGAGCAACAGCTACCAAAAGAACAAGCCTTGTCTCCAAGACCCCAAGAAAAGGAGGTTGAGATTCCCGAATTGTCTCAGGTGTTTGTGGAGGATGTAAAGGATATCTTAAAAAGCAGGTTGAAAGAAGGTCATATGAACCCTCAAGAGGTTGAAGAACCTTCAGCCTGTGCAGACACTGAAATTTTAGTTCAAAATTTAATTAAACAGATTACCACATCACAGTTGGTAAATGAAGCATCTACTGTGCCCAGCGACTCTCAGATGAGTGACTCTTCTGGAGTTTCCCCCATGAGTAACTCATCAGAATTAAAGGTAGAAAGTAGAGATGATCCTTTCTGTCTTGGAAATCTTAAGTCTGAGCTTCTCCTTAATATATTGAAGCAAGATCAACATAACCAGAAAATTACAGGACTATTTGAATTGATGAGAGAATTAACTCATATGGAGTATGACCTAGAGAAAAGAGGCATTACATCTAAAGTACTTCCACTGCAACTTGAAAATATTTTCTACAAGCTGCTTGCTGATGGATATTCAGAAAAAATAGAACATGCTGGAGACTTTAATCAAAAAGCATGTTCTACATCTGAGATGATGGAAGAAAAGCCACACATTCTTAGTGATATTAAAAGCAAAGAAGTAAACCACTATTCTCCTAATTTAGAAACTGTAAAAGAAATTGGACTAGAAAGCTCTACTGTGTGTGCATCAGCATTGCCAAGAGATGAGAAGCTTAAGGATCTGTGTGATGATTTCCCAAGCCATTTGGAATGTATTTCAGGGTCAAAAGAAATGGCTTCTGGAGATAGCTCAACCGAACAAGTAAGTTGACTTATACATTTTGTACAGAAATAGCTGCATGAACCATATGAGAATAATCCCATACAATTTGCTTTAAAAATCTGCATAAAGGTTGTTGAATTAAAATGTCCAACCTTGTTTTTAGTTTTCCAGTGAATTACAGCAGTGTTTACAGCACACTGAAAAAATGCATGAGTATTTGACATTGCTTCAAGATATGAAACCCCCCTTAGACAACCAGGAATCTCTGGATAACAACCTGGAAGCTTTGAAGAATCAACTTAGACAGTTGGAGGTAAGAATTGTCTACTGCCTTTTTATGGATGGTAGTCAGCTGATGTATGACTGGGAAAAAGAAGCAGAACACTTCTATGTTTCATGTTTATATTTGTGTTTTACACTAAATAGTAAATAGGTCTGGGATATATTTCTTTGCAGACATTTGAATTAGGATTAGCTCCAATTGCTGTTATTTTAAGAAAAGATATGAAGTTGGCCGAAGAGTTTTTAAAGTCTCTTCCCAGTGACTTTCCCAGAGGACATCTTGAAGAACTGAGTATTAGCCACCAGAGTTTGAAGACCGCCTTCTCTTCCCTCAGCAACGTGGCTTCAGAAAGAACGAAACAGATCATGCTTGCAATTGACTCTGAAATGGTAGGCATAAAATGTCAAAATTTTGATTTATGAAGAAAATTTTATTATTTGAGGATTTAGTCATAAGATGGAGTATTTTATTTTTAGATTGTTAAACCCATAAACCAGAGTCATTATTTGTAAGAATTTGACATTTTGGGGAAAGACAACTGAATGCACAATTTTTTTTTCTAGTCTAAACTAGCAGTTTCCCATAAAGAATTTCTGCAGAAACTTAAGTCATTCTCAGATTGGATATCAGAGAAGAGCAGATCTGTGAAGGATATTGAGATTGTGAATGTTCAAGATTCTGAATATGTAAAGAAACGTTTGGAGTTTCTCAAGGCAAGTATCAAAACAAAGATGACAAAATATATTTTAAAACCTATGGCTTTAATATAACAAGTGTTTAGAAAATATGACTTCGCTAAGGCTATAAAGGATTATTTCCTTTGTCTCTAGAGATGTCTTTATTCATAGTTGACACAACTATAAAAAACCTTAAGGGTGCCATTCTGATGCTATCCCAAATGCCTTATCAAACTCTTACACCACTGACGTGTTGAGATTTTTATTTATATATTTATTTATGCATTAGTCGCATAAATATATAATAGTATGAATTAGCCATATAAAAATCGTCATGTAAATACATAATAGTATATGTAGTACAGTCATGCCTCACTTAATGATGAAGATACATTCTGAGAAAAGCATTGTTAGGTGATTTTGTGTTTTGCAGACAACAAAGAGTGTACTTACACAGACCTAGATGGCATCCCTTACTACACACCTAGACTGTATGATGTACCTGTTGCTCCGAGGCTACAAACCTGTACGGCATGTTACTGTACTGACTACTGTAGGCACAGTGGTATTTGTGTATCTAAACATAGAAAAAGTACAGGAAAAATAAGGCATTGTAATCTTATGGGACCACCATTTGATATGTGACCTGTTGTATGTGGCTCATGGCTGTGTTTATATGTTAGTCACTTTTGGCATCCTTTTTTTTTTTTCCAAGTTCTTAATTTGAACAGCATTCCTCATGAACAATGATTAGGCTCCTGGCCTGAGAGTCAGAAAACTGAAATTCTGGCATATTTCATTCATATTTCAAATCCCCCATAGTATTATTTATATCTTATCACAATTACGTGGATGTTGTAAATGTTAGCAAGTAATATTTTAAGGTAGATGTTTCTCTTCAGTGTGCTAAATATACCTAAGTTAGGTCTTTTCCTTTTGTCAGAGTTATATTTTAAGTGCAGTGTGACAGGTAAAGATAAACCATTTTTAGAGGGGTTATTTATCTTTTTATATAATACTAACTACCATGGTATTTAAATAATTAATTTATCATTTATTACTGGATGATAAATAGATTTTTGATGAATAGCAAAAAAATTCATAAAACTTGCATTCCCTGATGTGAGAAGTGTATTTACAAAATATAAATGTTATTGTTAATATAAATTTTATCATGGCTTAGCTTTCTACTGATAACTTTTACCACTTTTTTAACAGAATGTATTAAAAGACCTTGGACATACCAAAATGCAGCTGGAGACTACTGCCTTCGATGTGCAGTTCTTCATTTCTGAATATGCACAGGATCTGTCTCCCAACCAAAGCAAACAACTGCTGAGGCTCTTAAATACAACTCAGAAGTGTTTTCTTGATGTACAGGAGTCAGTGACTACCCAGGTGGAACGTTTAGAGACTCAGTTACATCTAGAACAAGATCTTGATGATCAGAAGGTTTGCCTTTCTTCGTGGAGTTGGCATTCTTTGTTTTTAGTGTGAAACCATAATGTAGATACCCAAGGAGTATAGTGTGACAGGAAAGATCTTCTGGAAAGGCATTAGTGGATAAGATACAGTGTACATACAAATCCTACAGTGTATAACAATATTGTTTTCACTAATGATGCTACAATTTAGTTGATTTTAATTTTTTGACTCCCCAAAATACTTAACTTCAAGTGAAAGTCTTGATTGCCCCCCGTCCCAAGACTAGGAAATTTGAATGCACCTAGAAATTTAACACATTGATGAACATATGGCTAAAGAAGGTTAATTAAGAGTTTCGTTTTCTTCTGGGAAGCAATACAGCACAGCAATTCTGGGCTCTGGAGCTAGGTTGACTGATTTCACATCCCAGTTGTGCGACTCATTCATTCTGTGAACTAGGGCAAGTCATTTAACCTCAGTTTAATCATTGGTAGATTGGAAATAACTATAGTGCTTACCTGCTAGTATTGTGAGCATTGATAAAAAGAATGTATGTAAAACACTTAGTATCTTGCCTAGCCTGTGTTAGGCTCTTAGTAAACATGATCTATGGCTATAAGATGAATAATTAGTGTATATAGAGTAGGAAAATGAAAAGTGCAAGTAATTAGTGTTGACTTCTTAATCTTTTAGAATATTTAATGAATTATGTGAGTACTATATCTAATAGCGATAATGAGCAAAGAGGTGAGAATGCACTTAGACATAGTGATTAAGTAAAAATATTGCATGCAGTGTTCCTTTTATTATTTCTTGAAGCATCAGACATTGTCTCTAGCATGATAACCTATATACACATATCAAATATGTTAACCTACAAATCACAACTAACTTCTCTTTTGATGTCCTTTTGCAGAATTAATTCTATGTGTCGCAGGTTTCAAGAGCTTAAGAAAATGGGATGTTTCTTCCTGTTGGTCAGAAGTTCCATCTCTTACAAATATGCATGGCCAGTATTCTGTTGAGCAGTTTCATCTAAACATGATCACTTTCCTTGTGTATGGAATATGCTCATATTTTCTGTCTCACCTTGCTCAGTTTGTACCCTACTGCTATCATGTTTACAGCATACTTATAAAAGCTTATTAGACAAAACTTGGAAAATGTATTCTAATAAGAAGCTATCACAATAGCGATTTTGTGACCACCGCACATTTCAGATGTTTTGGGTTTTCTTCACTTTAGATTGTAGCAGAGCGTCAGCAGGAGTATAAAGAGAAACTCCAAGGGATATGTGATCTTCTTACCCAAACTGAAAACCGCCTAATTGGTCACCAAGAAGCCTTCATGATTGGAGATGGCACAGTTGAGTTAAAGAAATATCAGTCCAAGCAAGAGGTAGAATTTGGTTTTCTATCAGCAGCTCTATGTTGATGTTATGTTCGATTACTATCATTTGGAAGTCAGTGAAGATTATTGAAAATACCGGTAATTTTAGCTTTTTAGAAGCAAGGCATACCCAAGACACCCTGGGCTTGATCTTTAAACTGTATACTAAAAGTTAGATTTCCAACTTCAAGCAAGCTAGGTGATTTTTTTGACTTTTTTTGGTAAGAGATATTGAGTGGAGGAAATATTAAAGGGGATTTGATAATGAAAATACCTTGTGTGATGAATTAGAATTTGGATCCATTTAAGGCCAACCTAATTATGACTTGCAAATGAGAGGAAATAGCCATCAGTTTGGGTTCTTTCTCTTTCTTAGCTCCTTCTTACTCCATCTTTCTCGTATCGTAATTTGTTCCTTTTTATTGAAGGAAAGGGAAAAATAACAGTAACAACAGATAAAGATATCTTTATTTTGGTGTCAGGAGAGAGAACATTTTCATTGTAAGTAGATAGCTCCTGGTTCAGATTCCAGACTCTATATATTGTTAGCTTTATAACAGTCTCTCAGAGCCTCAGTTTCTTCATAGGTCACACTTTCATTGTTACATTATTATAAAAGTTAAGTAAATAGTGTGTGTTAAGTCACTAGCACAGTTAAGGTCACATAGTCGTGGCTCAATTAATAGGATTTCTTTCAATTCAAATACTATTTAAGACAATTTGAAGAGGATTAAAATAAAGTATGGAAAAAATAATATTAAAACTCAAACAGTATAATATAGAGAATGAAAATGCATGATAACCGAGGAAAAGAAGAGGAAAAACTACATGGAAAAATCTAGACGTAGGAAAGCTATAACTACTGAGGAGATATCTTAATCTTGAGGTACCTAGCAGCCAGGCGAAGAAGCAAACATTACGTATTACAGATTCTGGTGTTTAGAAAAGGGAAGTGTCATAGTTTGCTAGGAAAATTAGTTCATTTTTATCCTGAGCAATAAACACATTAAAAAATAAAAGTGTAGAAACAATAAATATTACCATATATTTACAAGCCTTTGTACATGTGCTCATATAATATAAAAAAATCTGGTGTGTACAAATTTGTATAGATCATATACTGAATTCTTAATACGTTGTCAGTGTTTCACTGACTGCATTCTTTTGTTAAACATGAAAATCCATGCTTTTCTTTAATATTGTTTGAGTTTCAAATTATATTAAGTATTGTGATTGAAATAAATCAACTCAAATTAACATACTGAATGTGTGTATTCAGACTACATGTACTAGACTCTCTACTCACCTTGTCTTTTAGAATTACAACTCTGGAAGAACTAAATAGGTAATAATTTAATCAAATATACTTTTTTATTTTGTGTTATAAGGAATTACAGAAAGATATGCAAGGAAGTGCACAGGCATTGGCTGAAGTAGTGAAAAACACGGAGAACTTCTTAAAAGAGAATGGTGAAAAGCTGTCACGGGAAGATAAGGCTTTGATTGAACAGAAACTTAATGAAGCTAAGATAAAGTGTGAACAGCTTAATTTAAAAGCAGAACAGTCTAAAAAGGAGCTGGATAAAGTTGTGACAACAGCAATCAAGGAAGAAACTGAAAAGGTCCTTATTCAAATATGTGGTGCACTATTACTATGTCAAAAATGATTAGCCTAACAGCTACTTGATTTATTATTAAGTGATATCCAGTGGTAGTAAATAAGGATTATCACTAAGGTTTATTATAGGATTCTGGATTTCCAGGTACATAATTGACCAATTACTACAAAAGGTTTGAAGAGTTGGCTTTCCTTAACTTTTTCTTAATATTTAAGTGAGGTTGTGAAACTTTCTTCCTGTGAAATGTGTGATCACTCATCAATTATAGTTAAAATTTTGGAATGTATTTTTAAGAACAGGGGAAACTTCAAAGTAACTGCCTGTTGCTCTAGGGTTTGATTTCAGTGTGTTAAGTTTTCAATGTGTGTCAGTTTTTAGTACCCTCATTCTAATTTAAAATGTTCTAAGTGTTTACTTTTGGAATGTCTTAAAACTATGCCTTGGCCCACGTTCTGAATTCCTTCTGTGAACTTTCCTTCTCCAGGTTGCGGCAGTGAAGCAGCTGGAAGAGAGCAAAACCAAAATAGAAAACCTTTTGGACTGGTTGTCAAATGTTGACAAAGACTCAGAAAGGGCAGGGACGAAACACAGACAGGTAATCGAACAGAACGGGACCCATTTTCAAGAAGGTGATGGCAAGTCAGCAATTGGAGAAGAGGATGAAGTTAATGGTAACCTGTTGGAGACTGATGTTGATGGGCAAGTTGGACCCACTCAGGAGAATCTGAATCAGCAGTATCAGAAAGTTAAGGTATGTTGTTGTAAACATATGATATAATTCAGTTCTATTTCAAGGTCGGTAAAGAGAGAAATAACCTAGCACATGCATTCTTTTCAAACCTTAATGACGAAAGAGGTTTTTTTCTGAGTTCATCATGTCAGATATAAATTATTATGAGAGTTCTAAGCAAGTCAAAAAATAATGAGAAATAAACTGTAGAGTTGGCATTCTCCATGTAAGTGAAGTAGAATTATTATAAAGATTTAATAAAAAATAATAATGGTTAACATTTATAGAACAATTAAAGTGGGCATTCTTCTAAGTTCTTTCCATTTTAACTCATTTCGTCTTCCCAGTTACTCTTTGGGGTTTTTATTTTCATCTTACAGATGAGGAAACTGTGACTGACAGTATTAAAGTAGCTTTCTGAAGTTACACATCTAGAAAGGGCTGGAATTTGGATTTAAAACTAGGCCATATGCTCACTCTGCTAAATCTGAATCTGTGTTCTAAGAGAACAATCTTTTTTTTTTTTTTGAGAGAAGGTCTCACCCTGTCGCCCAGGTTAGAGTACAGTGAAACAAGCATGGCTCACCGCAGCCTCAAACTCCGTGGCCCAATTGATCCTCCCACCTCAGCCTCCTGAGTAGCTGGGTCTGTTCTGCTATGCCTGGCCAATTTTTCTATTTTTTGTAGTGATGAGGTCTCACTATGTTGCCCAGGCTGCTCTCGAAGTCCTGGGCTCAAGCAGTCTGCCCACGTCCTCCCAAAGTGGTGAGATTACAGGCATGAGCCACTGTGCCCGGCCTAAGTTGAGCTCACTTAAGTTCTTTCTGAGCTCAGCTCATCTATTCAGTTAAGGCTGTTGTTGAGAAGAGATAGAAAAGCCCTTCTACCAGTTTACTCCATGACATAAATTAAAGCTAACGTTAATGCTACTATAGGAGCAAAGGCGACTTCTGTAGAACCATTTATAAAGTGTCAGTCATTTTATTTCAATATTTGGCTTTTGACAGTTAGATGACTGGACCTCAGAAACTTTTGCAGCTCTGTTTATTTTCCTCCCACTCTTCATATTTGGAATCTTTGGAATAGGATACTCCCTGTGAGGTTCTTATAGAAAATACAAATTAAACCAGAAGAAGAATGAGAGTATTTACTGTTCACAATTTTAAGGGGCTACTATAGGACCTTATTATGAAAAATAAAGTCTCTTAAAATGAAAAAATCTAGTGAATTCATAAAGGAACATTATGAGTCAGTTACAAAGAAGTCAGGAAAGGTTAGTAAGTTGACCAAAGTAGTGAGAAATACTGGTGGGTAGACTTAAAGATATTGCACAGGAAAGCCCTTGGTTTTAGGCACAGCGTGGCATTTCCTATCTGATCATTTTACCTCAAAGAATATGGGAATCTGTGCTTTAGAAAGTCCTAATCTGGGCCGAGTGTGGTGGCTCACACCTGTAATACCAGCACTTTGGGAGGCTGAGGCAGGTGGATGACAAGGTCAGGAGATTGAGACCATCCTGGCCAACATGGTGAAACCCTGTCTCTACTAAAAATACAAAAATCAGCTGGGTGCGGTGGTGCAGTCTGTAATCCCAGCTACTCAGGGGGCTGAGGCAGGAGAATCACTGGAACCCAGAAGCGGAGGTTGCAGTGAGCCAAGATCATACCACTGTACTCCAGCCTGGTGACAGAGCAAGACTCCGTCTCAAAAAAAAAAAAAAAAAAAGTCCTAATCTGATAGCGTGGAGAGAAGGCCATAGCGCCTGAGCCAGGAACTTAGCTTTCAGTAGTTGTCCTATATGTCCTGGGCCAAGCCATTCTCCTCCTTCAGCCTGAGATTCCTCATCTGTAAGAGGAAGGGGACAGATCTGATCGTTTATATGGTGTTGAACATGTCTGTCCATCCTATTTTGTGCAAAGCCCTTCTTGGAGGTGGGGGGTAGCATATGAATGTATTTCAAGTACCAGAAACACAAGTCTATGGGAAAGAAGTTAGTTAAAAATATTTACTATGTGCCCACTAGGTGGCGGGCACTGTTATAGACAGTGAGGATGCCAGTGTTAATGAGCCAGTTCTGAGTTGACTAATTGGTATCAGACTTACAAGTGAATGGCTGCCCCATAGCAGTCCTTCTAAAGAAGTCCTTTTCACAGCACAGAGTTATTTTCACTCAGCTCCTGTGTGCCAGCACTGTTCTCAGTACTTGGGATTCTACAGTGAGCAAAATAAATTCCCTGCGCCCCCCCCTTGCACTCTGGTTGGTGAGAATGTTACAGCAGACAATAACTAAGTTATATGGTAGGTTAGAAGGCAGTGAGTACTAAGGGAGAAAAGGAGTTAGGTAAGGGTGGTTGAGTGTGGGGTGGGGGACCAGTTTTCAGCATTTGAATAGGACTCAATGGAGATGGGCGCAATTAGCCAAGCAGATAATCCGATGAAAGAGCTGTAACTAGACAAAGAACAACAGGAGACAAAGGTCCTAAAGTGTTTACCAGGGTGGGAATGGAGGTGAGGGTGGGAGTAGCAAAGAATCTGGAGGTAATAAAAGGGGCTCTGAGGTAGTGGGAGTGGGTCATTTGGCTCCATGTAAGCCAGTATAAGAAATGTGGGAAATTGCCCTCCCAAAGGATTGGTATCCTTTTTGCCACACTTGTATGGCATATTGGGGTGAATGGAAGAAGGTGCTTATGTCTGGGGGGAAAGGGACTTCACCTGCCTAATGCCTCCCTGCTGCCCTGAAGACTGAGGGGATCAGTAGCTCTGCATACCTGTGACCTGCCTGCAGCACACCTGCCTGGGAGCCCTGCCTTCCTGCCTTCAGAGTGGATTTGAATTTCTGGCACATGCCCAGCTCTGCAGGGAGTGCTCGACGTATGCGATCTCATGTACTCCTTAACAGCAACCTGTGATGTGTAGGAGTTATTGTCGCCATTTTCACATGCAGGAAACTGAGGCCCAGTGAAGCTGAGTAGCTCCAGGATTCTCTTTTTATTATATCTGCTTCTCTAATGTCCATTGGGCTTCTCTGAATGTACAGTGTTCTAGCTTAGTTATTTTTGAAACCTTTTTAAAGCTTACAGATTCTTTTTCCCTATTTAAAGTTACAGATTCTTTTTCCCTATTTAAAAATTTTTCCAGAATCATTTTGTAATAAAAAAATATTATACTTGTTTCCCCCAAAATTAGGTAAAGACATTTTTCTTTGGTAGTTGTGAGAAAGCAGGGAATAAAATGAGATCAGATTATAGACACTTATTTTAGAATTGGAATAGAAATTTGTTTTTCCAAACTTCTGAAAAATGGTGTCTGTCCTATCTGATTAAGTACATAGAGAAGATTGGAAATGTCCTTTAAAATAAGATTAGCATGCTCAAAATGCCTTGTTATTCTGAAATTCACCAATAAAAGGGAGTATGGTATAGCTTGAAAAGGGGAATGAGAAGCAAGTTGTAGCCCAGTAGATCACTGAAACCTGTCAGTCTTGAGGTGGCAGGGAGCTCCCTGCAGCCTTGGTGTAACCCGGTTACTGCTTGAAGATTATGATCAATTTGTTTTCACATAGGCCCAACACGAGAAGATCATCTCTCAGCACCAAGCAGTCATCATAGCCACTCAGTCTGCACAAGTGTTGCTTGAGAAACAGGGTCAGTATCTCTCTCCTGAAGAAAAAGAGAAACTGCAAAAGAACATGAAAGAACTGAAAGCGCATTATGAAACTGCACTGGCTGAGTCAGAGAAGAAAATGAAGTTAACTCACTCTCTGCAGGAAGAATTAGAAAAGTTTGATGCTGACTATACCGAGTTTGAGCACTGGCTACAGCAGTCAGAACAAGAACTTGAAAACCTGGAGGCAGGTGCAGATGACCTCAATGGTTTAATGACCAAATTGAAGAGGCAGAAGAGTTTCTCAGAAGATGTTATTTCTCACAAAGGTGACTTGAGATACATCACAATTTCTGGAAACAGAGTGTTAGAAGCTGCCAAATCTTGCAGCAAGAGAGATGGTGGCCAGGTTGATACTTCTGCAACCCACAGAGAAGTGCAGCACAAGTTGGATCATGCTACTGATCGGTTCAGGTCTCTCTACTCTAAGGTAATGTTATTTTGATTTTTTAAGGGAAAAGTAAATCTGCAATTATAGTTTTCAATTATAGTTTTGAACTAAGAGGCAAGAAACCTAAAATCCAAAACAGGAGGAAAAGGTAGTTTTAGCCTACTTCATTTTTTCTTTTTTGAGAAGGAGTCTCACTCTGTTGCCCAGGCTGGAGTACAGTGGCGTGATCTTGGCTCACTGCAACCTCTGCCTCCTGGGTTCAAGCAATTCTTCTGCCTCAGCCTCCCGAGTAGCTGGGACTACAGGCATGTACTCCCATGCGTGGCTAATTTTTTTTTTTTTATTATTTTTAGTAGAGACGGGGTTTCACCGTGTTAGTCAGGATGGTCTTGATCTCCTGACCTCATGATCCGCTCACCTCGGCCTCCCAAAGTGCTGGGATTACAGTTGTGAGCCATGGTGCCCGGCCTTCTCTCTACCTATTCACCTGCTTTACTTCTGAACAATGTATTTGAAGATTAGAAACTTAAAATTACTTTAGTTTTGAGAGCGTGATTTCCAGAAGTCCCAGCTCCCAAATGCTCTAATATCCAATGTGACCACAAGGTGGCGGTTGTGCATTGACTCTAAGCGAAAACAGATGCTTGCAGCCTCTCAAGCTTGGGAACTGGTTTCATCTCACTGCAGGTGTTTGTCTTGTATATTTGATCAGTATATTATTTTAATACTTAATGAATAAAAGACTGTTTTGCTTCTTTTATTTTTGTGGTCAAGTAAAAGTGTTGTTTTGAAAAAAAAAATCTAAGAAAATATTTTCTGGTTTATAATATAATCTGAACAGACTTGCCAAGTTGCATAAATGATTTAAAGACCATCATTGGCTCTTGGACTTTGCTCCATTCTAATATATACTCTGTCTTCCTTTTGTTAATTAATCTTGTGCAACATACAGAAATTTATTAAGCACCTTTAAAACCCTTCCATCAAATCCATGTCTATACACATGGTGTATCAAAATTTCCTTCCTCTGATGATTGATATCTTTACCCTTTATTCTACATTAAGACTCAGCTCTATAAATATGTTTTTGAATTGGTATAAATCCAGAACTGTCTCTTTATTTTATGTTACTTTTTGGCTTTTTATAGCGTACCTCTTCATATAAAGGAGAAAATCTTAGCCCTACGGAGTTTTTATTAACTTTGGTGGAAGTCTGTTTTTTTCCCCAAGTTACAGATTTTATAGGTCCTAAGATTATTTGATGCATATGAAAATAGTGGGTTTTAATCTCCTACCGCTTTCCCTTTTGATTGTTAGTGCAATGTTCTTGGAAATAATCTTAAAGATCTGGTGGATAAATATCAACACTATGAAGATGCTTCATGTGGACTTCTTTCTGGACTCCAGGCCTGTGAGGCCACAGCGAGCAAACACTTATCTGAACCTATTGCGGTGGACCCCAAAAATCTTCAAAGGCAATTAGAAGAGACGAAGGTAAAAAGAGAGAGAAAGATCCAAATTTCCAGTAGTCTAACTGAAAGACTTTCAATTTCTCATTCTTTTATGATAGTTTCAGCTAAGAGAGGGGAACAAATGATGTGAAAAGTATACTTCTGCCTCCAGAGGTAGTTTTGACTCTATTTCTCCACAGTACATTTTTTTTTTCCTGATTTTTGTTGTTGTTGTTGTTGTTGTTGTTGTTGAGATGGAGTCTCACTCCATCGTGTAGGCTGGAGTGCAGTAGCGTGATCTCGGCTCACTGCAACCGCCGTCTCCTGGGTTCAAGCGATTCTCCTGCCTCAACCTCCCAAGTAGCTGGGACTACAGACGTGAACTTTTGTATTTTTAGTAGAGATGGGGTTTCGCCATGTTGACCAGCCTGGTCTCGAACTCCTGACCTCAGGTGATCTGCCTGCCTCAGCCTCCCAAAATGCTGGGATTACAGGTGTGAGCCATTGTGCCTGGCTTTCCTGATGTTTTTTAACAGGTTTGACATTGCTCTTATGGCTTGTGACCTGCATTCCAGTGCCCCCCCCCAATCCCCAAACAAAACTCATTATTTTCCTGGCCACTTATTTATCTATATACTTACTTATCTTGTTCACTGTTTTTTCCTCCATTTGAGTTAAGCTCCACAAGAACAGGTGTTTTTGTCTGTTTTACTCATTGCTGTATTCCCAGCACCTAGAATATTACCTGGCCCAAAGTTGGTACTCAATAAATATTTGTTAGAGAATGGACAGCTGGAAGGGAAGAAGGGATGCTACCATCATATTCAGCAGTTCTAAGGACCAGGATTAGGGTTCTTACTGAATATCTTCATGATTCATAGAGACACAAACTTGAGTAATTACTCAGTACAATTCTCAAAAAGTCCACCTGCTCTTTCAGAAATACAGGCTCAGTGTCAAAACTGCATAACTGTGGGACTCTCAGTCATACAGCGGCAGAGAGTTTTTAATCTATTTTTATAATCTAAAACTTATTTTAAAATTCTAAAGTAAAGGATGAGAGCTAATGTGACCAGTAATTTTGAGTTTAAAATTTTCATTTCAGAAATCTATTACATGATTCCATTTTGCAGGTTAATACTAGTAGGTTATTACTGCTATAGCTAGAAAATAAACACAGGATTGCCAGTTAGACAACTGTCTTTCAGAAGTTAATTGCATATTATTTACAGAGTCAGAAATTGTCATTGTGCTGTTGACACGGGAAACAGGTACCCTGATGGGCAAGCTTAAACTTAGGTATTGCCTGAGATTGACAACTCTGGAAAGCTAAGGAAAGCTAAGTCATACCTGAGTGAAATGTGGCAGGTTAATGTCAGGCAGAGAGAAGGCCTGTGAAGGGGTGGGAAGCATAGGGTGAGAGCAGGGAAGGAGGTCAAGCCAGGAGGTCAAGAGGGTGGAGGGCACTGCTTCTTTCCTGGGCTGAAGAGTTTATCCAGCCCTTCACTGGACACTAGGGAGATGTCGTGGGCCAGGTCAGCATCCCCAGATCCATGCAACCTCCTCAGGGTTGCTTCCTTTTTTCCAATGTGCATTTTCACTCCTGTTTTTTTTTTTTTTTCCTTTCTTTCTCTTTTTCCACAGGTACAAGAACAAATCTATCTTAATTAAGTTTTTAGTTCCCAGTGTATTGTATATTCAAGGACAAGATATGTGGTGGGCATAGAGGAGATACTGTGACATTAAGGTCATTATTTTAGTAGGAAATACATATCATTTAAAATAATTATTGATTGCATATATTACAATTAATTAGGAAGTTATTTTAAGTATAGAAAATACATAAAATAGAAATAACACATCTTAAGTTAGATCTATATTAGTAAACAGATTATATTCCATATAAAAGTGATTTTTATATAACTAGAGCAAAAAAAGAAAAAAACCCAAAAGAATGTGATGGTTTTTTAATTAAACAGATACATAGATAAATTTTAAAATGGAAAAACCTATTTAGTAATTGCTGCAGAAGAAGACTCTTACAGCCCTAAGACAGTTAAAGAAATATGAAGAGGAAAGAGATCTCAAAGGAGAATGAACTCTAATTAAGTCACAGTGTAATTTAAAAAATTAAATGTACAATTAAATTTGTTGCTGATAATGCACATATTTTTCTCTCAGAAGAGTTCAGAATGTATCAAGGATAAGTTTTTATGAGGATTAGGTGGCCTTCATTTCTTTCATGTTTATTAGCATTGTATAATTACTTTTAACAATAATATAAACCCATTAGACTACTACAAAAAATCAGTCTTTCTACCTGTAACATATTATCTTCTACTTATATTCTGATGTATCGTAAATGTAATTTTGGGGCACCCAATTTGTTCATTTCATTTGAAATACGTTTGGCCAATAGCATGTTGTTATTAGCATTATTATTCAAAGAACTGTCAACTGTGTTGTCAACAGTCTGATACTACTAGGCCATAATAACACTCCTCATGATCCCCTTTCAGGGAAATTAGTGGATAAAACAAGATTTTAGCCCCATAAGAGGTGCAGAAAACAGGATTTTGGGACCGGTCTCAAGGCCTGGGTGTGGAACCAGCAATGGGGATCACATCGACTGACAATGTCAGCCTTCCAGACTTGCACTGATCTCTGGGGTGGTGTTAAGTCAGGAAACTTTTATGAATTGGACGAATGCCCAGAAGTTTATAGACTTTGCTGTCTTTTGGTCCCAACAGGTATTCTCTTCTCACAGATCCTTCTTTCATGTTTTAATTTCCTTGAAATTCATTCAAAACAATATAAGGTACCCATATTAATATGTAATTAACAGTTTTGTTCCAAAATAGCACTATAAACAACTATTATCGTTAAATTAGGACCATAATACATGCTAGGAATTAAAAATTATTAACTCTCTTGAATGTATCTGTCAAGAGTAAAAGGATGGGATGTTTTGACAAGAAGAGGTAAAGAAGACATGCTTCTTTTATAACTCACTTTTAAGTTTTAAGCTGGTAGTCAGGGCCGTCTTTGGTATTGGATATTCTAATAGACCCATAATCACTTTTAGATGTCATTCATTCAGTAAACGTTTGTATGCTGAGTTTCATGAAGGCACAAAGATGTTAAAACCCTGTCTCTGCCCTTGGTGAACTCACATTCTGAAAAACAATTTTCGGAGGGCACCCTTCACTTACTTCATCTCCTAAGTCACCATGTTACGTGAATAAGCTGTCCCTGTGGTCTAGAATTCAGTCTGGTCACAGGTAAAAAGTTCATGTCTTGAGGGGTTTGTTTACACTTTCCATAATTAAACTGCTAGGAGAATTTTTCAAACAGATCCATTCTGATGAAGATTCTTTGGCATCTTGAAACAACTATAGGTTCTGGTATTCTAGATCCTATGTTGGTCATAGTTTGGTGGGCCTTTTGACATATGCATAGACTGCCTGTGTGTAATCTCAGTTTCTTGGATTATGAATATTAGTTGAGGAAATTTTACCATTAGCTTTAGGCATATAAATAATGATAATAAATAGTGCTGAAATAGAAGATAACCTTTTTAGGTTTTACATCTGATATGTTCATTTATTTACTTAGTTGCTCATTTATTCCAGAAAAAATTTTTTGGAGCCTGCTATGTGTCAAGCACTGATCTAGGCTCTAGTAATAGAAAGCTGAAAGGGATGACTTCCTAGTTCTCAAGAAGGCTATAGCTTGATAGAAGATACAGGTAAATCCAATAATAGTCACAGGATATTTATGGGAGTTCCTGTAAGGAGTACTTACCAAAGCTAGGAGTGAGGAGAGACTTAGGGAAGGTTTTCCGGCTGAGTATTAAAGGGTGAATAAGAGCCAAGTTCAGGATGATGGGGGAAGGTTGCATGAAAAAGTTGATATGTAGAGTTACTAAGACATTGGGTCCAGCATGAATAAATAGCTAAGAAATAGCTGTGTTGGACATTTCTGGAACAGAAAGTTGAGATTGAAGGTAGAATTAGGGAATAGGTTTCGTTGGACCTTTTGTAGCATGCTCAAGTCTTGGCCTTTTTGTGAAGGGAGACTACTAAGAGATTTTAACAGGGGGTTATATTTGGGTGTTCTTGTGTTGCTATAATGAAATACTTGAAGCTGGGTAATTTATAAAGAAAAGAGATTTAGTTGGCTCACAATTCTACAGGCTGTACAAGCATGGCACTGACATCGCGCAGCTTCTGGGGAGGCCTCAGGGAACTTTTACTCACCGTGCAAAGCAAAGCAGGAGCAGGCATGTGACATGGCAAAAGCAGAAGCAAGTAAGAGAGAGGAGAGAGAGAAAGAGAGAGAGATGGGGGCAGTGAGGAAGTGCTACATACTTTTAAATGACCAGATCTTGCTAGAATTCACTCACTGTCTTGAGGACAGCACCACGATGATGATGGTAAATCATTCATAAGAAATCACCTCCCACCAGATTCTACCTTGAGCGTTGAGGATTGCATTTCAACATGAGATCTGGGCGGGGACAGATATCCAAACTATATCGGGGTGACATGTGGTCAGATATGTATTTTAGATAGAACACATTAGCAGCTATATTAGAGAAGTGATTGGAGAAAGGAACACAGGATTCTTTTTTCAACAATCCAAGTGAGAGATTATCCTGTAATGATACAGAAATATGGAGCAAAAGCTGACTTTTAAAAAATATTAAGCAGGTAAAATTGTTGATTGATTTGCATGTGTGGAAAAAAAGCTTTAAATGGTTGATTTGCATGTGGAAAAGAAGCCTTAGGATGGAATCTAGGAGGAACTTCAGGTTGACTACTTGGGTAGGTAGATATATCCCAGGAGAAAGTACAGGTACAGAGAATGAGATGATGAGTTCAGATTTAGCTTTTTTGAGTTGGAGGTGACTGCATACACCCAGATGGAAACACTCAAGAGGCACTTGGAAAGCTAGGCCCATGGCCAAGGATGAGTTCACATCTACAATTGGACACTGGGGGCTTTGAAATCCAAATGAAAGAGTAGAAGAGGAGCGTGAGTTGCTTAAGAGAAATTAAGGCCGGGGATAGACCTGTGTGGCCAGGCAGCCCACTTTTGCAGAGATCTGTCAGAGCTGTTAGAAATGCAGGGTCCAACTTCTGGAAGACGTATCTATGGCTTCTGCTTCTACCTTTTTTTTCTTCCTTCCCATTGTTGAGCCACATCTGTTCACTCAGAGATATGCAGGGACCGCTATTCATTAAAATCCAGGACTCATTAGTCTTTCAGTTTACATTATCCTTTCCGAAGCAATTGACACTGTTAACCTTTTCCACTTCTCTCTTCCTTTAATCTTTGGGGACGGAGTTGTTCTGGGCCCATTTCCACCCCACCAATTACATGTGTTCTTTTTTTATTCTTCTCCCCATCACTTATATATAAATATTCTCCATGATTCTTTAGAATCTCCTTCTCTGGCATGCCTGTGCTTTCTTGTTTGGGAGTCACATCATGTGTCTTGACTTCCAATTCTCTGTGTCTGTTTCCAGTTTGGGTTCCAAGTCTCTCTCATTTCCAGTTTTGCTGTTTCCTTCTGGACGAGGGTCCCAAAAGCACTTTGAAATCATGAATTCCAAAACAGGCATTCCTTTACTCTAAGCTTGCTCTCACTTTTTTTTTTTTTTTTTTT